AAAGAAAAGAATGCAAACAAACATGAAACCCAGAACACATGCCGTTCATTTGCGTTCACCAGATTTAAATTGCAGTAGATTTCCTGCAGATGCTTAACACTTATACCTGCTTTTGCGTTTGGGCACTCGTACCTACTTCTTTTCAAACCTGCTAAGGCCAGTTGTACCGAAAAATGCTTGAGGTTTGGAGCGGCCTTACCGATTAAGTTATGTAGCGATGTTAAGGCGGCGAGGTAATTCTGAACCGAATTGTATTCCATTGTTTTCGACAAATATGCAACGTAAAGGCACACTGTGTTAACTGACGCCCGCACCGCGGTTAGAGTATACTTTTCACAGAAGTCGAGGAATTTTTGCCACTGGCATCTACGAGTCTTTTGCGATCCGTAAGCCAGAGCTGAACGCTGTAATCTTTTCAGGGTCGTCTTCAGAGAACTGATTCGGGTATCTAAAAAGGCACGACGAAGTTACTTTTGCAAAACTTTCTTCTCGACGGAAATAAGAATGAAATATCGACTCAAATTTATGGTCAGTAAGAATGCGACTGAGTGCATCCGCTGCAGTGTTCGATTCGCCTGGTACATGGCGAGCAGTTACGATAAAATTAAAATCGCAACCGGCATAGAATGCAAGCTTCAACCATTTCGAGGCTTGCGTATTCTTACACGTGCCGCGATTAATGAAACTGACAGTCAAAGCATTGTCACTTAATATTACAACTTCCGCATTACGAAACATCTGGCACCATACCAGAACACGGAGGCAGGCGGCGATTAGCTCAAGGTAGTTAATGTTGTCGCGCAAGGAGATATGCACTATGGGACTTGTTAACCAACTCGGCCACAATTTACGGTTCCCAGGCATTTCGTTGCGAGACCAGGAGCCCGCGAGCCAGCTGTCACCCATTACCGCACCGAAGCCTTGGAACGAAGCATCACAAGTAATGTACACTTTACGTCTGTAATTTCCAAAGGCATAATGGTAGAGACCATTTAGTTTCGGAGAGACTTTTATCCACCACAAGAGTTCGGTGCGAATTATATCGTCAACCGGGTGGAGAGCATCGCTATCGTTTAACGATTTTAAGACGTCAATAAAAATACGTGAGAAAATACGGGCTCCACGAATCGCCCTAGAAGCAAAACTCAAATGGCCTACGAGACACTGCAACTGCGATTTTGATACGAACTGAAGACTGCTGTATTCTTGGCAGAGTTGAGTCAATCTACTTATTTTATCTTCAGGCAGTATAATTTTTTGATTAACCGAGTCGATCAACAAACCAAGAAATCGGACGTTCTGCGTCGGACCGATGACCTTATCCCATTTTGGTGGGAAACCAAGGCGATTTAGCAACTGAATTAGGAACCTTTGTGCGGCTAAACACTTTTCATATGAATCCGCTATTAACAGAAAATCATCGAGATACGGTATTATCTTAAAACCTTTTTTTCGAACATAGCGAGCTATTGCTACAGAAATCCTGTTGAAGATAGCGGGGGCACAAGCAAGTCCGAAACACAAGCAGTTATCTACCAGAAAAACTGCCTTTCTGCCGAACGACCAGCGTAAACCTTGATACTGACGATGGGGCGGGTAAACCGGAACTTGACGGTACGCTTTTTCGATGTCAACAACAGAATAATAGCAGTTCTTCGTGCTCAACGAGACTGCGTCATCAATCGATAGAAACGAAAAGCTTTCGTGTATCATGTGCGAGTTTAGCGAATCGCCGAAAGGCCGACTACAATCAGTTATGGGCCGTGGTTGCGTGCTGTCTTTTTTCGGCACGGCACCAATTGAATGAATACGTGTTGGGGCAAAGTTTACTTCTGATAATTTACCGCACGCGATTTCATCTAGAAAAATTTTGTCCAGTAAGGGTTTTACTAACGGATTCAAAGCGCTGCTATAATTTTCAAGCCTAACTGGAGAAATTACTGTACCGTCTGGTACAATTTCAAACCCGTGTTTAATTCCGTCGAGCAAAAATGTTTTGTCTTCATCATCGGAAAAGCAATCGATCCAGTTATTGTAATTGCGAGAGAGTGGACTGCAGAACGTGACTTCGTTATCAGCTGAGCAACTTCCGAGACATTTATTAGTTAAATCACAAAAAGTATTAGGTAGCAATGAGTAAACCGTTGGAAAATCAGATAACTTATCATGTAGCGAGGGATGAGAGTCGACCAAAATTTTAGAGATTGCGAAACAAGACTGACCGTTCGGCGAGTCATAAACAGAGAAACCATTAAAACTGACGGAATTGCCCGTTGCTGCGGTTGGCGCTTGGGTGCGACTGCTCGGTTCCAGGGGATCCGGTCCATTTAGGGCAGCGGTACCAGTCGTGGCCGTCGCCGCTGCAGAGCCGACAGATGTGGGAATAGAGGCAGTGGTCCGGATGCTTCTGGCAGCGGCGCTCATTCCATTCGAAGCATGGAAATTCCTTGCGTGGGCGGTGGGAGAAGGGTGTGGGTCCGCGCGGTCCTGGTGTTGCCGGCCCACGTTGAAAGGCACCAGGCGCTCGAAAGGGATATGGCCCAGGTCGAGGCCGAAACGAATTTACTGCGACCGATAACGTACCAGAGTGAAAATGCTGATGAATTAGGCTCGAACATGAATTAAAATCATTTAAAGCGCAGTCATTTTCATCTGCGAAAATTCGAAAGGCGTCGTCAAATTGCAACACTACGATAGCCCTGTAGTCACGACGTTTATTAGCAAGAAATTCCATGTATTCTGTATACTCTTTTAGGGCTTCTGCGCGATCGGGTAGGACTGCTAACCGACGAATGATAGACTGACAACCCGCCATAAAATCATCATAACCAATATCGAGTGCCCCGACATTTATCGAACCAGACATATGAGCGCGAGTATATACCTGCGTATGCGGACGCGGTAAATTACGAGCAAGCCGAGGAAGAGATTTTTTTGCACTAATTACGTCTCGAAGGTCAAACTCACCTGAACTGGGTTGCTGGATGACCTTGCGATTATGAACGATGTTGAGCGGAGGAGCTTCGATAACGGAGGCGACGGAGGAGCGACCGGATTTCTTTGCTTCGCCGTCGGTGTCATCGATGTAATGCAGCAGGGATTTGCGATCGCGAAGGGGAATTCCTTTGAGTTCGTCCAATTTGAAGTCTTCGGCGGTGAGGGTTTTGATGTGCTCCTCTCTGGTGTACCGTTGAGCTTTCAAAATCTCCAGCGTAATTGGGCCGAGGTCCAGAATCTCTCCGACTGCTTCGATCGATCCACACGACAGCTCCAATTCTGGCTTATTACCGGCATCCTTAGAACACTGACATTCGGGCTGATGATAGAGAAAGCGATTAACCAACTCAGCTTTCAGGTCGGCGACTGAAAGGTCGTGGTCTCTAAGGATACCCTTTAAAGCTTCACATGTCAAATCTTCTAGTTCTTCACGCGTCTTACTCATTTTGAAAGAAAACCGAGAAGTGACCTTTCGGTGTAAAAGAAAACCGAGAAGAAAATTTGCACACTCAGAAAATTTGCACACTAAACTCATCACACAGGCCATTCAAATGTTTAAGTAGAGGTTAGCTATGCGGATGCGTGCTCCCATGCTGAATCCGGTTGGAAAGTCAGAGAAAATACTGACGGCGGAGAGAGAGGTCAGTCCATCGTTATAACCGGATTTCTCCGTTGCGAAATCCTTCTCGATGAGCATCGTTTTCCGTATTATACCAGCAAGATCAACTTCTACCGCTTAAACATTACATTGTTAACTTACAGGGCAAAGAAATCGCAAATGGCCGTCCAATCCACGGTATAAGCCAGGGTGCGCGCCGAGCGAGCATGCACCGTCGTTACCTTTGCTAGCATCTCCTCCCTGACCAGCAAGAAGTATGCGTTCACAGTGCACATGAAGCGCGCGGACGTCCGCGCTCGGCTTTCGCTGCAGCGCAAAACCAGAGGCGAAATGGTGATTTGTATTCTGTTATCGTCCCACGTGGGAGACAGGATCAGTGCATGCTCTTGTTCATGCAAGAAGCGGTAGTGCAAATGCTTAAACACATTGTACGCAGTGAGGCCAAAAAGGTGGCCGACGTCCCAGTTGTGCAGGATAATGGCGTCGCCGACGATGCCTTTGTACTCTTTATGCATACATCGCTACCGGGTAATTTAAGGTCGCCGGGTCGCACTGCCGAATATGCCAGGGCTTGCCGCTGGTTACGTTCCGGAAGTACTATGCTTTGTAAAACTTAATATTACTATGATTTGGAAAGCTTAGCACTACTAAGCTTTGGAGCGCTTAGTATAACTAAGCTTTGGAAAGCTTAGTACTGTTAGAAAAACGTTAACCATAGCCGCTAACCTTGCGACGATGTGCTTTCACGACTTATTTGTGTCAGCCGTACAAAAGGTCAACCCTTGATTTTTTGCTTTTGCTAGCTGTCTTTGTTTTAATGAGGCTATTGATTCGGTGTTTTTTCGATGAGTATTTACTGCCAGCCAATTGAAAACTCGTGAATCCTAAATTATTGTGACTTTTTGCTCTAAATTTCGAAGACCTTCTATTGCTAATCTGTATCGAGCTTGCAGAAAGTCGTCAACACCCTTTGTTACCTTTAGCCAATCCCGAGCTGTGCTTTGGTTTGCCTTGATAGTGTGATGACCGAAAAGTAACATTTTATCACTGTGTGCTATATAAGCTGTCAAACTTTAGATCTACAAATTCAGTGCAATTTTGTTCACGTACAGTACAACTGCCTTTAGTAAAGTTTCAGTTTCTTAGCTAACAGGGAATATTTAGGGTCGTTTGTGGTTTTCGTTTGCTTGATCTGTATCTTTCTAAAGAATTGTTATGGATTTCGGGCTTTTGGAAATGATAATGCCGTGTCGTTGGTAGCAGATCAGAAGGTGACCATTCAGATAGCCGTAAGTATGGGTTATAATTATGCTTAAATATGACCACTACGGCCTACGGGTATGATTATTGATGGCGGATACTTATAATGTTTCGATCGTAGGAAATGAAAGCGCCAAACACGTTGCGTCTGTGGGACGGCCGAAAACTTATTAGTAGGATGGTTTAAACACTTGCTTCAGTAACCTTTCCAGTTTACTTAATGTGATGAACGGTTGTTAATTCTGGCAGACGCTGTCGTGAAATCTAAGGTGGAATTCGAGGAAGAAGAGCTGGCTGATTTGCCTTGTTCCACAATCCAACTGACAGCTTACAAGGTTTTCGGCAAGTACGTTATCAGTACAAATTGTTGACATAAACGTCTGATATTTCGAAAATATAATTATATTAAGACGGTTCGTTATCAGAAAAATGTGTTTGATAACAAAAGGTGATCTATGAATTTGCTCATCGCGCTTTTTAAAAATAAAACGATTTTGCTACATTGTTTGCAGAGAACGCCTCATTATCAGCGCATTCGAGATGGTTGCTTCTGGGGACCAGAACGGAGGTGAGCTGCTCAAAGCACCCGATGCAGTGTTCGGACTACCTGTAGCTGGACTTTGCCAAGGCAAAAAAAGGTAAGAAGTGATTTGGATACAATTAACAAACTTTTTACCACCGAGAAACTGCATGTTTCAGAACAATCACCGGAGTTGTTGCTCAAGTGGATAAGGAATGGCTCGGACCTGGCACAGGACAGGAACAGAAGCGTTTTCGAAAGATCCTGTTGGTGGACGACACTGGCAGCATTAATGTAACTGCCTGGCGAGATGACACGACAAAACTTGCGGACCTGCACAACGGAGATGTGCGTCAAGTGTTCATTCCAACTACAAATTCTTTAACTAAATTTTTCTTTGACAGCATATCGAGATCACCAACGTCAACGTTGATCCAGGCGAAAAATACCAGCAAGCTGCCACGTGCAAAGTCGGAGCCACATTAACCGCGTCATCTTCGGTGGTTAAAGAGCTTGGAGTTATTCCGTTGCCCTGCAAGCGCCTTCTAACTATCCGAGAGGCTGCAAACGCAACTGCCTCCTTTGGTGAGATATATATGTTTTAGTCACTTCGCTAAACCTCTTGAATAGTCACACTTTAACAACGCTTTGCATGCGTTAGCAAACCTATTAAAACTTTATAATTTTTTGGAAATTTTGTTTCACTAAGTTTTTCGAAACTTAGATTTATTAATTTCTCTTAAATTTAATTGTTTTCTACATTTTTCCGAACGTGCAGTTTTTCTTCATCACGGAATGACACGAACTTCCGAACGTGCAGTTTCTTAGTCAAACGGCAATAATTGCATCAGTAAATCTGTATTGAAGATTATCGACAGTGAATTGCGCAGATTGTGCTAGTCATACAGTTTTGTTTGATAGATTTGCTAGGAGTCGTTGAAGATGTGCAACGCTTCGATTCGGCTGGAATGACACGAACGCTGGCGTTGTTGGACCCGTCTGTCGATCCGGTGTCACAAGCTATCGTTCTTGATGGACAACTGGTAAATGACCGCTTCTTTCTGAAAAAGTTTGATGCTGCTGTTGGCCGTAATAAAGGACAATTTTTTAGCATTTTAAAGTATTTAAATTATTTATTTATTCGTTGTTATTTGCGCTTAAATTTTAGTGACCACTTAGTGACCTTTTCCATTTTTTTGAAAAACTTAGCCAGCTAACTCCTACCAACATCTGGTTGTATAAATTTGGTAGGCTGGGAAATTTACAATGGAAAACAAATACTTAGTCGTTGTGATTTGCAACTTGCGTACCACTGACGGAACAATCCGCGGCAAAGAGAAGGATAGCTACTTCTATCCTTGCGTGCAGCGTAACAGCAATACCAAACGAGTTCTTGAATGGGTACTTCAGAACGGGTACATTAGCGGCAATGAGATCTCGGAGCCAGTTCAATCACCGGCAACCAACAAGCGCACAGCCGAAGCTATAGAGAACGAAACGGATGGAAGTGTGGATTTGAAAAATAAGCGAAAAAATACAGGACAAACTTTGTAAATCGTGGTCAGTTGTTGACAGCAGATCCTTTTCCTTTAATTTGTTTTTTTTCTGTTCCATACTTTTCTTAACCTTCGTACTGCATTTTGCCCTGTCAATTATAACTTCGAATTATTAACAGAATTACTGTAGCATTTGACTCAATGGTTCACGGAAGCATTTTATTTGACAGTGATGAAAGGAGTCGACTAATATTTTGTTATGCTTTTTTTGCTTAAATGCATCCGCTGATTTGTGGAAACACTCAGTTCTGTGTGAATTATGCATAAATATGGAACTTGGCAAGTAGCGAAGTGATTTAAGTACATGTCTACGTACTATGTACTGATTTAAGTACGTATCTACGTACGATTTAAGTACGTATGCATACGTAGCCAAAGCCATTCAGAAAATGCATTGGGTGATGTGGAAAGGGAGATTGAGTGCTACAAACAAATGCCTCATGAGCTAAAACGGAAGACCTCCCGTAATCGGCGCAAAGTTTGCGATGAAATTCTTAGTCGATGTACGCAGATTATATGGTTCGCCCTGGACAAATGGTCCATGCCGAGCAGCTGGAAAATAAGGCAAAACAACCCTGCATTCTGGTCAACTGGAAGTATGATTTGAATTGTAAACAGAAGAAGACTTTTTATCTTCGGTTCCATAGCGAACTGCCAACAAAATAGAAAATACACGATCTAGCGATGAGTACGCACTACGCACAACGCTAACAGATGGATAAGCGCAGTTACCAGACTCGCAAGATACAACCGGAGTTTCAGATCTTCAACGACGAACTGGGTCGTATTCGTCACCAAAAGCCATAGGGACTGTTTGATACGCCGCTAAATAGAATTATTGGAGTCAGTTATCTTTACATACATTCGACAGCGATAAGAAAACTTTGCAGTAAGGTTACTGCAGTACTTCGTACCATCACTGACTTACCAGTTACATTACCGTGCACACTTTTATACACATAATGTCTGTAGCTAACAACTGAACGAAACTTTCCTACTGATTCCTTCTTTCGCCCTTTTATAAAATTGTAACGAATACTCTCTTTAACTGTTGTTGCTCAGTACTGCGCCCTTTTTATCTTTTTTTTTGGAAAACTTATTTACACTAAAGCATCACCACGTATACTCTGTAGATATTTACATTTGCTTACACTTAAAACATCAACTAAAGCATCAGAATTTACATTTTAATAACTGCTTGGTTTTGTTGTTAATCAGCGACCAAGAACGAAGGCATATTCGTTATCAGTTCCGTTATGCTTATACAATCCCGTTATCTAAGGTAAAGGACGTAAAGGAGCGGCAGACGTAAAGCAGGCCGACCCACTTTCTACGATGAGCCTGATGACTCTTTGTTGTTGCGCTTTGAAAATTTAGTATTCATTATGAAACAGAACTTAAGACCTATTTCCAGATAGCAATTTTAGGAATTTTATTCCTCATGGTTGAGGTTGCCCTCGAGCTAACGGAATGAAAAAATGTTTATAGAGAAATGACAAAATTGAACAAGACTAATCTTTGATTTTCCTTTTTCTTCAATTGGAAACTATGGATAGCAGACGTTTTTGTGGCTGACTAACTTAGATTTGAAAAAGTAGTGTTTTGCCAGTTCAGAAACGCATTGCTTTATTAATCCGTGCAATTCGCTGCTGTACGATCCTTCCTCTGCTGTACGATGTATTCGTAATAAGAAACTAAGCGAGAGTTGGACTTTGGGAACATTTAGGTGACGAGACTTAAGATACTTTATTTTGATGATGTGCAGTTAACTGATGATAGAAACCCAAGGAATCCAACGGAGACAAAACATACCACCCGGACGCAGTAAACCGTTTACTCAAAAATGTATGGCAATTTCTTATCTAAGTGCAAACAAGTTGAGCGCACTTGTTCAGGTCAGAAAGTAACAAAGCCAAGCATGTCAGCAAGTCGACCACGTTATCCAGTCATCAACATAGACGTAAAAAATGGTTTACGGAATTTGAAAACAATACAAGTTTCGGCTAAAGGGCAATACGGATATGTAAAGCCCTGATATAGTGCAAATTCAAAAACATCAATCACCGCGCTTTCACTATTATCCGAACAAGATGGCGTCCTAACCTGGGACGGTGTACCGATGTGACCTTCTCGAGCAAACGCTAAAAAATGGCCGGAAAATTGTTGAAAACGACAGCCCATACACAGGGACAACGGACAACGCAGAAAGAAACAGAAGCACCAAGTCACTGATTTGGGTTTCGTGGATGAATCTCGCGTCCCATTAAACGGCGATATTTATCTGCTCCGCGGTTGCTCAGTTGAACCCCATAATATCGATGTTTTTTATCAGCGCGTCCGGAGTTCGATGCGCGACGGATGTGAAACTTCTTGATCAGAAGTTTCCCAAGCGTATTCTTTGGATCGGCGTCATATCGTAGAGGAACCCGACTGGCCTGAATCGATCTCTTCAGAAAATCCTGCAGATCCTTCGTGTACAACATGGATCCAGGAGCCGCTTCCACATACTTTCCCAGCCACTCCCAGATGAATTCGGAGTTTTGCTTCCCGTCGGAATTTCCCACACGTCGGGAAGCTGGCTCTGCAGTCTCTTCTGACTCCAGCTCGATAAACAGCGGTATCAAAGCATCGTAAGGCTTGCGGCATGATGGGACGAAGACTTTCGCGAAACATTCTCCCAGCGCTTGATGCAGTCCATATGAAAGGTATGACCGCATTTCATGGTTGCGAAACCTGAATTCGAAGAAATCCAACAAATAGTGCATTTAATTGCCGCCATCTTTGATTATCCAGAATACTGATTCAGCTCTTGCAAATTAGAAAAAAGCACTCAACCATTAACTGCGATTTTTAAAAGCGCCGCACTGAATTTATTGGTACGATTGCTCTTTTACATTTCGCGATGCTACTAACAAACTGACCATCCACTGCGCAGAAAATAAGGTCAAGACGGCTTTAAGGGTTTTATTCTGCCGCATACGATTTTCGCTGATGAGTACCGCTTACTAGAGCGGTAAACAACTTTTTATAGAAGGATAAAATCTTTATTCTTATTCAGTCTTTCACCGATGCGCGACCCAAAGCTTAGTAGCGTTGCAAACCTGGATGGCATACCTCGCCTATCACAGCGCAAGCGCTGCAGATTCACCAACCTGGCATTATTTAGGGCAAAGTTACTCGGTAAGCAGCAGGCTAGCAGCAAAGAGAGCTTCTTGCTAGTGGAATCTGGTTACCGTCCATGAGAGTCGACCAACTTCTAAAAAATAGAATTAATAATTCAATTAAAAAAATGAATTTCCAGCGGTGAAAAAATAATTTCGATAATTCGGACAGAAAAATCGTGATTGGCTGGTTGCGGATAAGCCCCACCCCCCAAGCCGAACAATAGAATATTAAAATTCAAAATTCAAAATTACGTAATTGGTCCAGTGGCTAACGGAACCTGGTACCAGTGGTACCGGGTGCAAACATCGGCAACCTTGCTCTTCTTCAACTTCTAAATGAGTGTGTGTGAGTAATTCGGAATTTCAGTTGTTGTATGAGTAATCTGAATTTTCAATTTTTCTACTTGTGTTCTCAGTATTTCTATTTCTTACAATGAATCCCGGCAAGCATCAATGCGGGGAGTGTAAAAAATTTTTTCAACGCGCGGATGACATGCGGCGTCATAAGAAGGAGGTTCATGCCGACCTGGATCGCGTCAACTGCCCGGTCTGCAAGAATGAAATGGTCCGACGAGGCCTACTCCGCCACCTTCGAGAAAATTGCCATCCGGGAAAGAAACCACGGAAGCCCACACAGAGAATGCCTCGACCAATTCCGTTGGCACCGGAGCCACCGGCAGGGAAAAGACCAAGAAAGTCTTCGCACCCGCGGAAGGTGGTCCGTGCGACGCGAGGATCAGCAACGCCTGCATCAACGACGGCAGCGCCGGCAGCACCGCGGACCATCACAAAAGTTTCCGCTTTGTATCCAGTTTTGGTTGGAAATTTTCAAAGCGCGACCTGTAAATGTGGTAAAGCTGTGGGATATGTTGACAATACATATACCATCATTTCATGTGAGTGTGCGGAATGCCGGCTCGAGGCGGCAAATTTGCTGTTGTTTATGAACACAGTAGAAACGGTGTTTTGTACAATAAAATAAATAGAAAGCTACGGGGTCTTGCTGGTGCTGCGCGAGATGATACGTAACAGAATATACTGTGAAATCAGAATTAATACACGCAACAAAAATTCCCTGTAGAACGAAAAAAAATCGAGTGCCTGGTGCACTCCTTTGTCACAAACTGGAGCAGTAGTCAAAAATTCAACGCCGGTAAAATTTTTGTTTTTATTTTAAGATTTTATCTGTTTTGCTCAGCGGAGCAGGTGTTCTGATCTTACTGCTTCCTAGCTTGTATTATCTTGATAATATGAGTCTCCAAGAGATGTTTCCGAAGGATAAGGTCGAGGAATGTTTAATGCATACATTCCTGATGTATCGCCGCCTAGAGCGTGCTCCAGAGATGTGGAACAACAAGCCCGTTGCAGATAGGGCCGAGGAGGCGAAGCAAACAATGGAGGCGTACGTTGCTCACCGGAACTTAAAGAGCCAAGAAGTGAATCAGGAATATGACCTGGAAGAAGCTTATCAGGAGAGCTCTGAGTTGCGAAACAGGCTGGAGTCCAGGGAGCGAGAACTTGCGGTAGGTCAAGGGAAATAACCGCTTTAGGTCAGCAGGGCTTACTTGTCTGTGCTAAAATGCAACTTTGTGCTACCGATTTTGCGCTTAAAAAATTTAAGAATTTACTCGGTAAAAAATGCATTGGGAGGACATAAGAAAAACAGTTCACTCAGTTTCTGGAGCAGAGAATCGGTGTTGCTTTTAATGCGAGGTAATGCTACTTGTGTTCAGAAAAAGTTCTGTATCGGTAAAAGATTGGATTACGTGCACTGTATTTACCAGGAGTTGGTAAAACTGGTAGTTTGAAAGAGTACTAGATGTGTAATTTATCT